CCGGCTCCGCGGGGGCCTCCGGGGCGCGCGGGCCGTCGGGGGGCGCCGCGTAGCGCGGCGAGGGCGGCGGCGACTTGCAGTGGATCTTCATGTGCTTGCGCAGGGAGCTGGGGTGCGTGTAGGACTTGTCGCAGCCGCGCACCTTGCACAGGTAGGGCTTGTCCGACGTGTGCACGTGCGAGTGCTTCTTGCGGTCGCTGCTGTTGGCGAACTTCCTGTCGCAGCCGTCGAACTCGCACTTGAAGGGCTTCTCCCCTGCCGGGAAGAGCGCGGCGGTCAGGACAGGAGGCACCCTTCGCTTCGGGCTTCCCGTTATTTTAATTGTTTTTCACCCGCCACCCCCCGCCCCCGGGGAGGAAGCGGGCGCCGCGGGCCGCGTGCGCGGCCTGGCGTGGGGAGCCCCCACGCGGCTCCTGCCACCTGGGCCATGTCCCTTGCGGCCCGGGGCATGTAAATAAATAAATACATGTAAATAAATAAATAAACGGGGCAGCGCCCCGGGGCAGGGCCCGGACTCGCTCCCAGAACCCCCTTCACTACGGGGCTAATGAACACAACGCCGTCCAGGAGCGCGGCTGGCGCATCCCGCGCCTAATCCCGCTCCCGCTTCCCTGCGCCGGGCTTTAATGAGCGGGGCTGGGGGGTAAGAGTAGCACCTGTTTAAGTGCTCGGGTATAAACAAGGGTAGCGCTGGGGGGGTGCAGGGGGGCTGGGCGGTGCTGGGGGCAGGACGAGTGGGGCCCTGAGCGCTGCCCATGTGGGATCTGTCTCCTGAGGGGAAAAATAAATAAAAGAGGCAAGGAGAAGGGGAGCCCCCGTCCCCTGCGGGGCCGCCTTTCCGCAGCTTCCCGCATTGCTCAGCAGCTCCGCGCGGCTGTCGAGGGGCCCCCCCGGCGCTGCCCCCCGGCGCTGCCCCCCGGCGCGCAGCCCTAGGGACACGGAGCCCCTTCCCAGCGCCCGGGTAGCGACCACTAGGGAAATAACCGGGCGGGGGGGGCGGTTAAGAAATAAATGTGCCCGGTGACTGCGTGGCACCCGGCGCGGGGGGATTTCAGCTTTTCCTCGCTCGGTCACGCTGCTCGTGGGGCGTTTCGRCGCAGCCGGAGCGGGACCAGAGCCCTTAACGCGGCTCCTGCCACCTCCGAGCTGGAAAAGCTCCCGCTTTAGGCACCGAGGGGGAATATTTCAAGACATGATTGGGTTGGGGCACTCTCCCGTTGGACACAATTCCCARCAACTCGCCCGATGGACACAATTCCAACTTCCACCGTGCAATTTGGACTTCTTTTTTACCCTCATTTATAGCTTACATATACATACAATATTTACCGAAAGAGTAAGAGGAAAACAAGGAAACAAGTTTTATTTTTAAAACCCAGCTATTTCCCCACGGTTACTATCAAAAAAAAAAAAAATAAAAA